AGATATTTAGAACTGCCCTGTGTCCCCTACACATTTCTTTTGCTAACTCAAAGATCCCTGCTAGTTCTTTTCTTGGACTACAGAATGATTAGCCTTTGTGTTGATGGTAGTGGTTGGGTAATTTAGCAAAAGACAAGGGGAAAGCCGACAAAACTCAGTCTACAAAAATGGCGTGTGCTTGCAAGAAAAACTTTGTACTGTAAGAAAAGCCTGACTCTATTCTTAAAATTGTTTCTTACCCCTTCTCCTACCTATCCTGCCTAACGTGTATAAAAAAGATGTTTGTACTTACCTATTTTCAATCAGCTCTGGACCAATCACATGATCCCACAGCTCTGGCACCCCTGTGTCAGTGAGAGGCTGCTGTAGGGGAGTAGAGGAAGAGTTGACAATGGCTGGGCCATGGCTATGGGTGACATCACAGCATCCAGAATTCACAGCCATTGTCCAGTGCGCCCTTACGCAGACCTGCAGGATCACATAACTGGACTAGAAAATAGGTCAGTACACAGATCTTTTTTATACAGTGTAGGCAGAATAGGTAGGAGAAGGGGAGGATACATTTTTAATAATGGCTACAGTATAGTTAGTTGTTTTCTTCTACTTTAAGAGGTGAGTACATATCTCTGATCTGGGGGGACACTACTTAATCTTAGTTGCTGACCTATTTAATACCAAAATGGTCCTGGTTAATATATACATACCTCTTCCTTTACAGGTACAACTGTTATATGATTTAATGAGTAAATTGGCTCCTTTCATGCACCTCCATCTTCATTTGCAGGGGACTTCAATGCTGTTTTAGACACAGCGCTGGATTCACACACCTACAGATGGAGCATATCAAGGGTGATACTTTTCCTAGACATGGAGAAAGCCTTTGACACAGTGGAGTGCAAGTATATGGCCACTGTGTTACGCCACATGGGGTTCAGGCCATGGTTTTTAACATGGATTGCTCTATTAAACAGTAGTCCGGTTGTGGCTCTTCGTATAGGCATGGCAGTCTACTCCTTTTTTCTGGTGGGTAGAGGTGTCCCCTGCCCACATTTCTTTTTACACTCATGATTGAGCCAATAGCCGTAGCCTTGCGTGCCTCGCTCACAGTGAAAGGCCTTGAGGTGGGAGGTATCCATGAATGTATAGCTTTATATACAGATGATCTGTTGCTTTTTTTTCAAGACCCAGGTCTGTCCTTGCACGCTGTTTTTCAGATTCTAGCGGACTATGCTATGTTTTCAGGCCTTAAGGTGAATTGGGCTAAGTCTAGCATAATGCCAATTGATGCCTGTGCTCAGACACATGCTGACCTGGACATACCACTTATTTGGGTATCTAAATTCACTTATCTTGAAGTAAAAATCTCACCTACTTGTCACTTAATTTATTACCTTTGCTCCCTATGGTCAAACGTACATTGGAGACATGGAGACATTTACCCTTATCCTTGATAGGCAATCTTCTCAAAATGAAGATACAGCCGGTCGTCTTATGTCTTCTTAGAAACTCACCATTTTTTGGTGCCCCTGGTATATTTTAAACGAGTGGACAGCGATTTCAGTTTTTTTGGCATAGGGGATGCCCAAGGAAATTTGAAAAGGTATGGCAATGCTGATTAGCTGACACATCTACTGTTGGATGAGACTTTCTCACTGTATTATAAATACTTGTGTTAGTCTAGATGTCACTGGGTACTGTAATTTTGATTGTTTACCTGTTGGTATGAGGAAGGATCCTATGGTGGTTATACTCCTGCTCTATGAATTTCTGACGAAGGGTACCATGCAGCCACTATACAGTAGGTTCTAGTCTTATGATTGTGCTTTTGTTTTTTGCTCCATAGCGGACTGCCTATGATCTTTTTGATAATGGCAGATGATCAATAAAGAGATAAACACAGGAACTGGTCATGTATTGTAGAGATGTCCTGCATACTTTTTTTTGCCTACACATATGCTTTAAGTTGTTTTTCCTCATCAGCTCTCCTTACCCTGCCCCAATCAATAACTCAGTAGCCTTTCAGTCTTCTAAACTCTAATGTAAGCAGATTGTTCTGGAAAGGGGGAGCAGCATGAGCTGACTTGTATGACTTTAATGCTTCATCTGTAATGTTGAAGATGAATTCCTCCATGTCTCCTGCAGCTACCAAGATCAGAGAGGGCTTGTTTTAGAGCTCATTTACTGTTTGCATAAAGTAGGTAATTATTTGAACATCTATTGTCTGGGCACAGGTTTACTTTAAGTCCTCATGCACACTGGATGTTTTTACAGCTGCTGTTTTTTGCTTTTGACGTTTTTTTCTACATCCAGTAAACTACCCAGCATGTTATCCTATGTGTCCATGCACATATAAACTGTAATTAACATTTTTTGGTAGGGATGTTTTTTGGCTGTAAAAAAAACCCAGGACTAGTGGGTTTCTAGAGGAGTTTTTTTTAGCTGTAAAGCCGCTCTAACACTAAAAAACACAGTAAATCGCGGCAAACCAGCGTTTTTGGATGTTTTTTTGACTAATAAAAAATATTTTTAACATGACTTTACACAGCTAACGTTACCAGCGTTATTAAAATGCCCAGTGTGCATGGAGCCTTAGGGTCAAGAAGATACACCAGCACTGCAAAGTTTTTTGAGTAATACACAACTGAAAAAGAAAGAAAAATATTGTTCTATAGTAGGACACGTGCAGTTAATTCATGTGTTGGTGCTACACTCAGGATGACTTTTGGCCCCCTTTGATACTTTTTTTGCCATCTCTCAGTTGCATCCAGCTCCCTGATGTACTGGTTTAAGATTGCTTATGTTGTCAAATTATTCCTGCAGATACATTTAGTTTATATCATTACATTTTTGGTATTTGGAAAGCATGGTCTTATGACTGTATGGCTAATGACTGTCTTTTATTCATAACCCATTCTTCTATCAAGTACGTTCAGTACAAATCTCATAACGTTCATCAAAAATATTCTGATTTAGATATAGTTCATTTATTTTTCATTTCTCCGCCACAATACAAAGTGGAAAAAATGTTAACTAAACATTTCCCTGCCTTTATTAGAAGCTTCTGGCTTTGGTCTGAAACTGACATCTACACCGCGTCTTCATTGCTTCATGCTGCTGAGCTAAATCCAGTGTAATCTTTGCTGAGCAGGCTTATTCCTGTACACAAACTGTGCCAGCCAATTACTTAGAAACAATTTCTTTCAGGTCCCAAAACACCAGTAGGTCACACGATTTAGCACCAGCAGGAAGCATATTATACAAGTAAATAGCAATTTTTGAGGTTTGATATTGAAATGGAAATTATGGAGCAGATTAATATTGACAGTAAGTACACATATGGTTGCAAGGAAGCTATGTCAGCAATAAAGTCACTTTGTGTTCTTGTGTACAGTCCCATTTTGTAGGATGTTTTTTATTACGCAATGTCATGGAGTGTTATTTCATTAGAGGTTTAATTGGCAAGCAATTTTAAGCAAATTTGATAAACTGGTGTTCTATGTTCAGAACACAATACTTACTGCCAAATGTTACCCATATGTTGGTCTGCGTATTATTTTTCTGCTTATCTGAATATGTAAATAAGGCCTTGGAAAGTACATAAAGTGAGACTATGATAGCTATATCAGAAATACTATTGCTGTTGTCCTGACCCTAGCTGTAATCTCTATTATTCAACGATAAAGGACAAGCAGGCATATTTATTCCAATGATCCACTAGCTATGGAAATAAGAATGAGGATGCCGGCCCCTGAAACATGCGTGTTTTATTGTAAGTAAGCAAAAACAGCTCCCAAATCTTCGGCCACACAGGTTCCCTTTTAAAACTGTTAAACTATAGTCATTTTTAGCTTTATGCATGTGAATGTGGTCGGCTTTATAAATATAATCTTCTCTGCCATTATGGCATTATATACAACTCCCTCTGCCCAAGTATATACATCTGACGTGCTCTCCACTCCCTTTTCCATCACAAATGTCCACTCTCCCCACTCATATTTAATCTATTAATGGAACCAATAGCAACATACATACGCTCTCAATCTGAAATATCTGAATTAAAGATACATGGCAGACCACATACCAGTTGCCTATTTGCTGATGATATTATACCCTTGTTAACAGATATTTAAAAAATCCTTGGCTTTGGTACACACTGCTTTACAAATGTTCAATCAAGTGTAGTACTATAAGGTAAACAAAAATAAATCATGGTTGGTCTCATGGTTGGTCTCCCCTCTGATGATGTGCATTGCACAAAAGGCCTTAGGAGGAGCCAACAGAGCGTGATATCACTGCTGCCTGGAGCCACGAGGAGGACCGGCGGCCATCTTTAATAAGGGGTTAGTACTACTCTACATCATTTCTGACATACATGGAGTGTTTACTACCCTACTTTACCACTGGATTTTCTGAATAAAGGTATTTTAACAATACTACACTATGGGCATCTTTTTGGCTCCCATTGGAGCTAATTCATTTCCAGATATCCCATTACAATGCACTACCACCAGAGGGAGGCAGCCCTGTATCCAGTCTGTGCACCCATCCAACCTTAAGGGGACCTCTGGACCTGGCAGTTATAATCACTTACCACCAAGACAAGATTTCCCACCTTTAGATGGATGCTCACCTATTCCGCCTTCCTAAGTGATCTGGTTGGATATTGATTACATGCGCATTACCTATGCACGTCCGGTGAGTGAGCAAATTTATCATTTGCTCCTGTAACTACTTGCCTTGGTATACTGCGACATCAAGTGGATTACCTATATATTTTATGAACTATTTATTTATGCGTTTATAATATGTTTTTGGGACATTTTATTATTCATTTATCTACTAACATTTAGCGCTGCACTTTTATTTATTTAAAAATAAATCATACATTCTAGGTCTTTGAAACAGAAACTGATGTGCAAATTCCCCTAAATTTGAGACTAAAAATGGGATCAAATACCTGGGGATAAAATGAACTCCCAAAGTGGAAGACTTAGTAGCAGCCAGGGGCGGACTGACAGCTCATGGGGCCCCCGGGCAATAGGGGATCATAGGGCCCCTAAATCCTCACCCACACTCAAACCACACCCAAAAAAGCCTATGAAAGGTACCAGGAGCATCTCATGGGGCCCCCTACTGACCCTGGGCCCTCGGGCAGTGCCCGAGTGCTTGAATGGTCAGTCCGCCCCTGGTAGCAGCTAACTATATTCCCTTTATATCTACATTACGCTCTAAAACTACAAGACATAGCCAAAATAGAGCTATCGTGATTGGGACGTCTGGCCTCCTTCAAAATGATCCTATTACCACAAATGCTTTGTTTAGAACATTCCCAATCCCTGTTCAAAATTTCTTCTTTGTACGAATACAATCTCTGGTTAACCAATTTCTATGGAAAGGTAAAAAGAGCCAGATGTGCATTCAGCAAATTAATAACTATGAGAAAATCTGGGGGGGGGGGTTGGTTGGGCATGTTTTAATCAAGGACTACTACCTGGCATCAATACTCACTCAAGCAAAGGCATGGTTCCCCCCCAGCACTTTCAACACTATGGGTGAAGTTAGAGAGCTCTCAAATACCAGGACATAATCTTTACACTTATTTATTAACCAGCCACCTTACTAAGCCTCAATTGAAGGCAATTTCAACTACTATTCAAGCAACCTTAATGACTTTACAACAACTATTAAACACCCCACAGGAAGCTACACATAACACAGACATTTCTCTCCCTGTTCTCAGTCTATCTCTCCTCATCCCGGATCTCAACATTTCTCACTGGGTACCTAAAGGTATTACTACAGTCAATGAACTATACACAGGCCCTGCTATGAAAACATTTTGATCCCTACAAGTAGGACACGAGCTGGCCAGTCAGGATCAATTTAAATATACACAAATCATTCATTTTCTACGACAAAACATTCCAACTACCATATTTCTCGACTAGTGAATAGTCCAATTTTATTATTCCTCCTCTTCTACAATCAAAGGTATCTCACTTTTTTATACTATGCTTTACAATTTCTGTACGTCTTCCTGAATAAAAGCTTGGAACGAGACTTTGGAGTTACTGTATATATTCACAGAAAGATTGGCAAATGGCACTATTTATTTTGCGATGATACTTAACTGCCTACAGAATTTCAAAAATTATCTTCTCAGTGATTGAGAAGATATTATGAGCCTTCTTCTGTTATTTCTTTAACTGTCTCTTGATTAATGAATGGGAAAGCAGTCTACAAAGTCAATTTACCAATTCAGTTGGGTCAGGGGTGGACAGCTGCCTGCACCCACTACAACAAATAAATGCCCATCCTCCTGGTATTTCACATCTCCACTATTTAATCTTTGCCTTTCCTTTACCCCCCCCCCCCCCCCCCCATCTCATCATCAACATTCTAATACATATAAAGAACCACAGAAAAAAAACAAATGGGACTTTACTGGTACAGAAAATGGTCAACTTCATATTATTGTATAAAAAAGTGTTTATTGAAACATATCTTCCAAAAATTTACCATAAAAACAGTATTTTGGCTAGTCAGCCTAATAGGTCAACATGTTTCGCTTATTAACTTCCTTAGGACCCCGAAAGAGTTGGAGGCAAACAAGTCCAATGCCCTAGCTGGAAGATACAAATATGCATACAAAACATTAAATAAATAATGTAATAATTAGAGATGAGTGAATTATTCAAAAATTCGATTCGGCTGATTCGCCGAATTTGCGGGAGAAATTCGATTCGATGCGAATTTATTCGCCGCAAATTTAACTTATTTAAAGGGTTTCTAGGCTTCAGAGAGCCTTTATATTAGTGCAGAACACTGTACCTTTAATTTAAATGCCCTTGGAGTCTGCTGGGGAAGAGAAATAATACTGTCAGTCAGTATGACATGCAGATGAGTGCCGTCGATCTTAGAATCACCGCACACTTCACTCATTTGGGCAGTCACGGGGCACGACGAAGAAGAAGAAGAAGAATGAAAAGAAGAAGAAGAAGAATGAAAAGAAGAAGAAGAAGAATGAAAAGAAGAAGAAGAATGAAAAGAAGAATGAAAAGAAGAAGAAGAAGAATGAAAAGAAGAAGAAGAAGAATGAAAAGAAGAAGAATGAAAAGAAGAAGAAGAATGAAAAGAAGAAGAAGAAGAATGAAAAGAAGAATGAGAAGAATGAAAAGAAGAATGAAAAGAAGAAGAAGAATGAAAAGAAGAATGAGAAGAAGAATGAAAAGAAGAATGAAAGAAGAATGAAAAGAAGAATGAGAAGAATGAAAATAAGAATGAGAAGAATGAAAAGAAGAAGAAGAAGAATGAAAAGAAGAAGAAGAATGAAAAGAAGAATGAAAAGAAGAAGAAGAGGAATGAAAAGAAGAAGAAGAAGAATGAAAAGAAGAATGAAAAGAAGAAGAAGAATGAAAAGAAGAAGAAGAATGAAAAGAAGAAGAAGAAGAATGAAAAGAAAAATGAAAAGAAGTATGAACTATATTACTATATCAGTCTCTAATGGATGCTGGAGAGTTAAACCCCCTAACACCTGCTGCGCCCATTATGAGGGGTTCCCACCATCCCTGTGCTGCGGTTCTGGGTATGCACACCTGCTGTGCCCATTATGAGGGGTTCCCACCATCCCTGTGCTGAGGTTCCAGGTCTGCACACCTGCTGCGCCCATTATGAGAAGTTCCCACCATCCCTGTGCTGAGTTCCTGGGTCTGTGCACCTGCTCTGCCCATTAGGAGGAGTTCCCACCATCCCTGTGCTAAATGCCTGGGTCTGTACACCTGCTGTTCCCATTAGGAGGGGTTTCTACCATCCCTGTGCTGAGGTCCCAGGTCTGCACACCTGCTGCGCCCATTACTAGGGGTTCCCACCATCCCTGTGCTGAGGTTCTGGGTATGCACACCTGCTGTGCCCATTATGAGGGGTTCCCACCATCCCTGTGCTGAATTCCTGGGTCTGTATGTACACCTGCTGTGTCCATTGTGAGGGATTCCCACCATTCCTGCACTGAGTACCTGAGTCTGTACACGTGCCAAAAGAAAGTTTCAGGATTTTGAAGGAGCAAAATACAGTAATACTGGAACAAAAATGAGCTGCGTGGTGGAGTTGCCAGAAGAAGAAGAAGAAGAAGAAGAAAAGAAGAAGAAGAAGAATGAAAAGAAGAATGAAAAGAAGAAGAAGAAGAATGAAAAGAAGAAGAAGAAGAATGAAAAGAAGAATGAAAAGAAGAAGAAGAATGAAAAGAAGAAGAAGAAGAATGAAAAGAAGAATGAAAAGAAGAAGAAGAAGAATGAAAAGAAGAAGAATGAAAAGAAGAAGAAGAAGAATGAAAAGAAGAAGAAGAATGAAAAGAAGAATGAAAAGAAGAAGAATGAAAAGGAGAAGAAGAATGAAAAGAAGAATGAAAAGAAGAAGAATGAAAAGAAGAAGAAGAAGAATGAAAAAAGAAGAATGAAAAGAAGAAGAAGAAGAATAAAAAGAAGAAGAAGAAGAATGAAAAGAAGAATGAAAAGAAGAAGAAGAAGAATGAAAAGAAGAAGAAGAAGAATGAAAAGAAGAATGAAAAGAAGAAGAAGAAGAATGAAAAGAAGAAGAAGAAGAATGAATAGAAGAATGAAAAGAAGAAGAAGAAGAATGAAAAGAAGAAGAATGAAAAGAAGAAGAAGAAGAATGAAAAAGAAGAATGAAAAGAAAGAAGAAGAAGAATGAAAAGAAGAAGAAGAAGAATGAAAATAAGAATGAAAAGAAGAAGAAGAATGAAAAGAAGAATGAAAAGAAGAAGAAGAATGAAAAGAAGAAGAAGAAGAATGAAAAGAAGAAGAAGAATGAAAAGAAGAAGAAGAAGAATGAAAAGAAGAATGAAAAATGAAGAAGAAGAAGAATGAAAATAAGAAGAAGAATGAAAAGAAGAAGAAGAAGAATGAAAAGAAGAATGAAAAGAAGAAGAAGAAGAATGAAAAGAAGAAGAAGAAGAATGAAAAGAAGAATGAAAAAAGAAGAAGAAGAATGAACAGAAGAAGAAGAAGAAGAATGAAAAGAAGAAGAAGAAGAATGAAAAGAAGAATGAAAAGAAGAAGAAGAAGAAGAATGAAAAGAAGAATGAAAAGAAGAAGAAGAAGAAGAATGAAAAGAAGAAGAAAAATGAAAAGAAGAATGAAAAGAAGAAGAAGAAGAATGAAAAGAAGAATGAAAAGAAGAAGAATGAAAAGAAGAAGAAGAAGAAGAATGAAAAGAAGAAAATGAAAAGAAGAAGAAGAAGAATGAAAAGAAGAATGAAAAGAAGAAGAAGAATAATGAAAAGAAGAAGAAGAATTAAAAAGAAGAATGAAAAGAAGAAGAAGAAGAATGAAAAGAAGAAGAAGAATAATAAAAAGAAGAATGAAAAGAAGAAGAAGAAGAACGAAAAGAAGAAGAAGAGGAATGAAAAGAAGAATGAAAAGAAGAAGAAGAAGAATGAAAAGAAGAAGAAGAATGAAAAGAAGAAGAATGACAAGAAGAAGAAGAAGAATGAAAAGAAGAAGAAGAAGAATGAAAAGAAGAAGAAGAAGAATGAAAAGAAGAATGAAAAGAAGAAGAAGAAGAATGAAAAGAAGAATGAAAAGAAGAAGAATGAAAAGAAGAAGAAGAATGAAAAGAAGAATGAAAAGAAGAAGAAGAATGAAAAGAAGAAGAATGAAAAGAAGAATGAAAAGAAGAAGAAGAAGAAGAATGAAAAGAAGAAGAAGAAGAATGAAAAGAAGAATAAGAAGAATGAAAAGAAGAATGAAAAGAAGAAGAAAAAGAATGAAAAGAAGAATGAAAAGAGAAGAATGAAAAGAAGAAGAATGAAAAGAAGAAGAAGAATGAAAAGAAGAAGAATGAAAAGAATGAAAAGAAGAATGAAAAGAAGAAGAAGAAGAATGAAAAGAAGAAGAAGAAATGAAGAAGAAGAATGAAAAGAAGAATGAAGAAGAATGAAAAAAGAATGAGAAGAAGAAAAGAAGAATGAAGAAGAAGAAAAAAAGAAGAATGAATGAAGAAGAAGAATGAAGAAGAATGAAAAGAAGAATGAAAAGAAGAAGAAGAATGAAAAGAGAAGAATGAAAAGAAGAAGAAAAGAATGAAAAGAAGAAGAAGAAGAAGAAGAAGAAAAAAAAAAGAATGAAAAAGAAGAAAAGAAGAATGAAAAGAAGAAGAATGAAAAGAAGAAAAAGAA